CATGCCGAAGCATGGCTCTCCGACACTAAAATGTGTCATTAAACTATTGATTCATGTATTTATTATATGGTTATATAGTTACTAGCGACCCTCTGAATACTAAGTTTTATCCAAATTCGTTCAGTAATTTTTGTATACCAAACATAATTACATATATTCTGACAAACTATCATATCTATAATATTGTTTATGGTATTTCTTTTTACCTTTTCTACGTCTCGTGCTGACCAAATGGATAATTGACAAGAGATTATTCGAATGGTTGTACCACAATGTACCAAGCAAGTGGTTTCGGACTCTATTCCCTGGCAAGGTAAAATAAAACGACCGGAGTGATACAACGGCCTCACAGAAAACCGACGTGAAACAACGCTTGCGTTGTGTTTCGTCGTGTGAGTGAGGTTACCGTTGTGTTTCGTCATGTGAGTGAGGTTACCCTCCCTAGTCCCCGTCTCCCGAATCCCTAAATCCTCCACAATCCTCAAATTCCCAATTGGCCGGTAACGCACTTGTAACGCCTTGGTGTTTTGAGTGTCCATGGGCGGCGCCGATTACCTACTTACCATCAGGTGATCCGTATGCTCGTTTACCGGCTTATGCTATAAAAAAATCATAGTCTTGAAAATTGTAATGACATGAAGTCCAGTTCGCTTCTTATTTGGGCAAGAATCTCATGATTCTTGCATACACGGTGAGGTATTTGTTATTTAGGCATTGTTTTGTTTTACGAATAGTCATACACTCTCCGTCTCAAAGTGTACTATAACAATAGCTAATTAGTAGATACCTATAGTAACAGTACTTGTAATTATATGTATTATATCAGAATATTAAAAACTTTTAATTGAAAATATCGAATTAATTATAAGACTCAATATGTAATTTTATCATACCATTCAACTGATTCGAGGAAGAGATACCGTGTTAATGGGGGTCAAACATTAAGGCTATCTTTGTTAATACAAAAATTAACTAAGTAAATATTTATGTAACTTTTAGTTTAGGCAGTCTTAAAGACTATTACTATAGCTAGCCTCTTAATAACCATTTTGTCTTCACATTTAGCTTTGTATAGAGCTTAATATTCTCTACTTCTTGGGTAACGTCAAGCCTTATAATCCCTGAAGGATAAGGCAGATCTGAAGGTAAAGGATAAGTGTTATAAGTTCTAATGTTTTATGACAGGCTGATTCTGATGTCTAATGTTCTGATCTCTTACGACCCGGGTGACCCTATTGTCATACACTGGGTACAAATTCAGACGCAATGCTACTACGGGGAACCAAATCCTAGACCTTTTGTTCGTCAGTTCGTTCAGTCGTATCTACTTGTGATCACATGACCAACAATAAGTCAAAGTCAAATTCAAAGCATTTATTTCAATTAATCATTAAACACGTGCTTTGAAACGTCATTCAAAATTTAATTGGACATGATAGTCCTGCTATTATAATATATTCACGTTGACCACAATGTTTCATGAGGTCATTGATCTATGAGGTTTATATTGGAATACCCCAGATATCTCCACACATACACATGTAATCACTCGGTTAGGATACCAAGAAATGAAAATAATAAATACAATCAATTGTTTTTCTCAATATCTACCTACCTACCGTAAATACCGCAATGAATATATATATATATATACATACGTGATAATAAACTTGGATTTTAATTCTTGAAAATAATTAAGATACATAGTATCACTGTATTTATTTATTTATACATGTTTGGACAGATTTTCAAAACACCCCCTGACGTGGGTACACACTAAAGTTGAAATCAAACTAATTCCTGAATTTTTATAATTACTATCGTAAGACATACTAAATTCGGGTTACTCACGTGAATATACTGAGAAAAGCTCTACTAGTTTCGAACCACAGAGGGGTTCTTCCTCATGAGCAGCGTGCGCGACGTCTGGGTCGCCGCAACCGCGCACGCTACCGCGATTTTAGTAAATTCCTGAATTGCTTATGTCAACCTCTTCTCGATATATCACAGTCATGCTCAGCTTTTCCTCTTAACTGGATAACTGGATAACTCAAATTAGCCACTTTTTTTATTAAATAAACCCATAAACGAGCAGACGGATCACTTGATGGTAAGCAATCGGCGTCGCTTGTGCTCACCCGAAACATCAGAGGTGTTACGACGAGTGCATTACCGGCCTTTTGAGGATTAGGAATTTGAGGATTCGGGGATTGGGGAGCGGGATAATTGGGCCACCGGTAACCTCACTCATAAGACGAAACACAACGCAAGCGTTGTTTCACGTCCGTTTTCTGTGAGGCCGTGGTTACACTCTGGTCGAGCCGGCCCATTCGTGCCGAAGCATGGTTCTCCTACACTTATTCAGAGTCTTTCGGATAAACCCATTAATATCTAAAGATTTTAAATCGGTAAATCCCAAAAATAATTAATCCTTTAATTAACGAATATTAAACATAGGTACCCAATAGTGCGGTCGTGTCTGATTACTGTCCTATATATATATCGGGAGTATATACGTACCCACGTACCTACCTAGTGCAATGCAAATGTGTCTGTGCATCATGTAGTTTCTTGTGTAAATAGGTTACTAGCTTTTGTTAAGATCAACCTCAAATAGAATCAGTTAGGAGACCATTCCTTACCGAAAGTTTTGTGCCAGTCTGGTCTCAATTTTTATTACCTCCTTTAGCATAGTTTCCCTAGTTATTATAAGTACCGTCTGATACACAAATGAGCATGTAACCATAAATTGCATGTCATTCTAGTGTGTATGTCATGACAGCCGCGAATACAATCGGTAATGACCCCGCGATCATGACTGTTCTTGACTGAGTACCAATGACTCAATCACGGGTAAAATCCAAACTTAATTAAGAACTAAATGAAGAACAATGTCTAACTATATACAATACATATGTACGTTACAACTTAGTTAGTATCAAATACAAAACATAATTATTACTTATCAGAAACATACGAGTACAAATGAAATAAACATTAGTCATATAAACCACTAATTTGATTATCAATAAACAATGTTATTTTGAATAGTAGCACGAAATACTACGTAAAAAGTGGTGAATAGATTTCAAGGGGTGAATAGATACGGGAATGGGGTGAATAGATAGGTACTATTAAAAATTCCCTATTATCTATTCACCCCCCGTACGACATATGAGCACGTAAATTGGCGTAAGTACCTAAGATTAATTGTATTGTACATACATACATACTCCCATGAGGGTAGGCAGAGACTATGGAACGCCAATTGCTACGATTCTTACATACCTCTTTCGCTTCCTCAGCAGTCATCAGTCTTTTCATGCATGCTCATTGCAATGTACTGGTTTGTTAAAAGTTTTCCTCTACATTCCATACACAGGGGTACCTACTGGATTCGATGAATGTTTTCGTACCTATATAGGTAATACCTAAAGTTTGGCCTTTACGGAAATTAAACGTATATAAATTTTTATTCACCACTTGTACTTTTTATATATTTCTGGTCATATATGGTCGTGGATATAAAGTTCTTGCTTCAAATGATTCTGTATCTTTTGGCAAATTAAATCATAATGTGAGGTTCTTGCATAAAGTTGGGTGCTTATGGGATGGGATGTAGTGAGATCCTAGAATGCATAATTATAGGTAAGTACCTAGATACTAGGAGGAGCTAATTCTGGGTCACTTAGTCTGGGTCGGATAACACTATTAGTCACATATGTACTTATATAATAAGGAAGTTAAGGAAGATAGGTTAGGGGTCTCCCCTGGGGGAACCACAGTACCATCGGCACCTTCAGTTTTTTTTATTAGTGGCACAGTGATGTTATTTTTGTCGAAATGTTCAGAATTCCGGAAAGGATATTATGAATAAGACAAAAAATTCCATTGCAACGACCCCAAACAAAAAGGTCGACATCCGACGACTATAATGACGAACTCTAAATCAGCTGTACGTTGAGACTTTAATAAATTATAAACAATATTATTCTTTAATTAAAAAACGCTATAATGTTCTACGAGGCCATAAGATTAACATATTGTGGCATTACGAGACATCAAGCGGATTATTTGTCAAAAGACTGCCAAAGGTCAATACTTTTGAATAGCTACTGTCCAAGAAAAAACTAAAAAAACCCATGCTGGAAAATAAGATTGAGCAACACCTTTTATACATGTATTTTTTGATAATCAAAGTGAGAAAACCCAAAATAGTGGAGCGAACGATACTAATTTATAAATCACTTACATCGGGATATTTGGACATTGAAGTTTTAATCCAATAATCAAAAGATTAAATTAATTATAGTCATCTGTTCGGACAAAGATCACTGTATGGGATCGATTTTTTTGCCCGGAAATCAGAGTATATTGATCCTAGGTTATTTCCATAACGATATCTGGTATGATAGAAATTTTAGTAGATATTTTTGCTAATAAACTTGTCGATACTGCACGTGACCTGTAGATTGACCTGTCTTTCGGGTAAAAGATCACGTGGATAGCCACGCGATCTTTTGACTTAGTTTCTAGTTCGTAGCAGAAAGTATATGTCCTAGAATTAAAGAAGTATGTAGAAGTATATCTTTCCTACAACATGTGTACTTGGCATGCACGCTTCTAAACGCATGATATTATAGTGAATAGTGACTGAAGTGTACAATTAGCCTATTATGACAAACAGGGGAACTCCGAGACATGTTGTATCAGAAATAATCAATGCACAGCATACATAGGCACAAACATACACGGTTAACTTAATTGTTTTAATCTTGTACTTCAAAAATGAGGAATAAACCCTTGGCGCTTTGAATTCTACTAAGCAGATGATGCAATAACAGTTTTTGCAAATAGGTAACCTTTATCGACAACAAATTCTTTATAGGCAGGGATACATTATTATACTCTCATCTCTCATCTCATGGCATCGTAGCTCTATTGGAGAATAAACACATTAATTAGGTACAATATTAACATAATATTTCATAATTTTCTAGAGCGGTGTAATGGCGGGGCGAGTTGTATCCCTCTGAACGAATGCACGGGTCTGCACGCACAGCTACAGAAGGGCAACACACCACAGTTGACGCAACTTCTTCGCAGCCTGCACTGTGGCTTCCAAGGGACCGACCTGCCTATGGTGACCATACTACATATCTTAATGATTTTCTAATGACTATATAAATACACCTCTTATTTGAATCACTCTTAAAATATTTTTAAGTACTTACAAGTGACAATTTAAAATTACGTATGTACCTTTCCACTTACTGAAATGTCTTAATTACAATCAGTTATAGGTACCTACTTACCTATTGTTTATTATTTATTTTTCTTCTCTAGATATGCTGTCCCCCAGAGTTCTTAGGTGGTGGTCAATCCTCGTCCATATCGATGAGAACTGGGAGTCCTCTGAACCTCCTGCCTAACTCTCATATTTGCGGCATTCAGAACAATGACAGAATTGTGGGAGGCATACAAGCTGATATTGACGAGCATCCATGGATGGCCCTCATCAGATACAACAAACGTAAGACTTGATAACAATGATTATTTTATACTATCAAGCTACAAATTAAAGTAACGCAGGACTTACCTACCTAATTACACTGAAACAGACAGAATGTACATTATATTACGAAGTTACAGCTAAAATAGAGACCACACTAAATAATTACCTATTTGAATAATATTCATGGCATACACAATTTAGAATCTACCTTCTATCTACTCTATTAATAATTCTAATATTTGGATCGTTTTCCACAGCCGTCGGTTGGGGCTTCTACTGCGGAGGTGTGCTTATCTCCGCCAGATACGTCCTCACAGCGGCTCACTGTGTCAAGGGAGCAGACCTACCAACAACCTGGAGACTGTAAGTGCCTATCTATAATTATTAACATTTTATAAACATTAATTCATCATCAAGAGCTATCGTCATCGCTTACCCAGCCCGAGACTTTCCACGGTTGTACTTTGGTCCTCCAGTTTTTAAGTTCAGACCCATTTCCTTCTTTAAGGCGTGTATGTGTCATATTTGACTACCTACAAGTAACATGTTATATTGGGTCAACATATTGATAATAGGTACACGGTCAAACTGCAGTGACTCAAACTGTCTCTTGGTATTGCGTATTTGTATTAATCAAAGTGGGATTTTCCGGGGTCATCATACTTTAGCCAAAACAAACTACCTATATGCATAGAACCTTACCTTAATTACTATTTATTTACTAGGTATTTAGAATGTGTGTGCAATAAATAAATAAATGTACCTATTCTTTCAGACCACAATCATACACGATTTCTTTGTGGCTTTAACCATTAATACAGTACACGCGACGGAAGCTTAAAAAATAGAGTAGGTAACTTCTCCCGTTTTCCCAACTGCCCATCACTGCTCTGTTCCCATTGATTGTAGCGTGATGGAAAGTATACTATAACCTCCCCAGGAGTATGAAGAATAATAACGAGTAGTTTATGTTTCTATAAGGAACATACAGACAGACAGATAAACAGACAGAAAAAAATAATACTGATTGCATTTTTGGCATTAGTATCGATCACTAATCCACCTGATAATTATTTTGGAATTATATATTTCACAGAATTGACCTCTCTACAGATTTATAGTATTATACCTAAGTACCTATATATACCTAGATTGGCATTCAGATTTATATCTATATCTACGAGGTTAAATATTGACGATATAAAAACAAATTAAATGGCGAAAACACAGAAAATGGCGAGAAAAGGAAAGAAAACAAAAAAAAATCAAACTTACGGCGTCGTAAAAATTATTACCTTGGGAAATTACATTTTTTCCAAGCTAAGCGCGTCGACGTCAATGTTCCCTACGTGTGTATATGCGTTTTACGAGTGTTTCAATAAGTAGACGTAGTTAAAGAACATTGTTAGGTCGTCAAAATATGCTTAGGTTATAAGGACCAAGTTACGACTGAAACTAATTTTCCATTATTATCCAACTCCATGTATTCTGTAATCGTTTTCATGGCTATGGTAAGTAGGTGCTGAAATCGATTTCGATGCCATACTTAAAGAATACCTATATACCACACGTTATAATGGACTTTAATAAGTGAATCCCTCAATACTGAACACTACACACTCATACCTACATGAAACCTTAATTTCTCTTCATATCTTTATTAGAAACTATATTAGGTAGATTACCTTCTTATCTGAGTGACCCTAGAGAGAGTGAGAATGTGATTATGCCTATTATATAGATACTTGAACAGAACAGAATACAGAATAAATGACTGCCTACCTAACCTACAAATAAATAGGTACTCACATAATGGCCTCCAATAATTCCAGGTCACAAGTGCGACTAGGCGAATGGAACACGTCCAGTGATGTGGATTGCGTCCACGACGACTGCAGTGGACCCGTGCAGGACATTCCAGTGGAAGAAATCATCGCACAAGAGAACTACGACCCTCAGGACACTCAGCAGCACCACGACATCGCGATGCTGCGTCTTGCCTACAATGCGCAATTCAATGGTAGGTACCTGGTTACAAGCTTCTATGTATGTTAACCTATCGCCAAACATAGTCCTTAGATTAAAATAATGGTTTACTCACGTAAATTGAAGAATCGAGGACTCTCTTGGCTATCCCAACTAATGATTGTACAACCCTGTGTGGCTTGTAACTTGTCGAACATCTTAGAACAAGGTCTAACGTAACGTATGATGTTAACGTTTCAGATTTCGTGAAACCTATATGTTTGCCGGTGACCAATGAGCTGAGGAACAGCTATTTTGAAGGCTTTGACTTGGAGGTAGCTGGATGGGGCAAGACAGAAACTCGTAAGTAGAACACAGTCACCATAGGGTCATAGAGTCATAATTTTGAACTAACCATGCACAGTGTACATAGAGGTAGTTGCACAAATTCATCTATTAGTTTCGCTAACAATGGTTGCTTTCAGAGGACGCTGGTAGCGACTCCCAGCCGATTTTTTCCGGAACCAATTTGGCAGGTGGGCCGCCATGGACATAATGTGAATAGCTTCAATCCCACCCTGCGTGCATGCACGATACGTTAATCCTACTAAACTTATATGATACATTTACTCACACTTAGTGTTTTCTGTTTTGTCGTGGTCGCGTTTATAAATGTAAAAATTTACTAAGCAGAATGCAGATACATCGACCTCGTAATACGTTACCTAGCAGCCGGCCGCCCTGCCTAGGGGGCTGGGCAACCGCTAACCGTGCTGTATATACCTGTTCTCTACCATCCTCAGCATACTTGCTCCACACTACGATTTTCTCCTGACACAAGTGCATTTGTACCTATAGGCATAATTTTACATATTTACACATCATCTGTTCGCTCATTAGGTACCTTGAAGTGCATAACACGCGCCTACATTATTTCATTGCTCTAACATACGTTTAGGTTCATTGTGCGTACCTTATTTTTATTTATTTATTTATTTATTTAAGTTCTATACAATTGCATAAGGAAGACTTAATGCTAACAGCATTCTCTGCCAGTCATCCTTTGGGTAGTGCAGAAATGTATGTGGTAGGTGGTAAGCTGCAAAACTGTTATGAGAAATAGTGGTAATTATCCAAATTAAAAAAAAAGGGTATCAAAAGCATACATAAAATACGTAAATATAATCGTATAGATATATATAATTATATATAATATAAATATCATTATACATATAAATATATTTGTGACTCGTATATGAATTTGTCCTATGTTACAACAAGATGAAAAATTATGAAAGATGTTATGAAACTGCCAGCTTTCCGCTAATGTACTCACGCGCCCTCCGCTTGAAACTCAGAGGACTGGTTGCGGTTCTGACATTCGTTGGAAGCGTGTTCCAGAGAGAAATGACTTGAATGAAGAAAGAAGAATGAGTAAAGTTACTGCGATGGACAGGACAGTGCAATAGCCGATTATGCGAGGAGCGTAGATTTTTAGTATGGTTGTCACATACATACTGGAAATGTGAAGTTAAATAGTTAGGAGAATTGGGAGAGTCAAGCAGAGAAAATAAAGTTGTGAGTGCCCTTAGCTCTCTGCGCTGACGAATAGGCAACCATTTCAACAATGATCGCTGTGCAGACACATGGTCGTATTTACGCAGGTTAGAAACGAATCGAATGCAGTTATTTAGAAGACGGTCAAGTTTGTTGAGAAGATCTGCATTCAGGTCATAGTAACACACATCCATAATCGATGATGGGGAAAATTAAGGTCTGCACAAGCATCGCCTTAGTGCTGGGAGGCAATACATTTCTGAGACGGTACAGAGACCGCAGCGATCCGGTAACTTTTTGACTTACACTGGCAACTTGACTTCGCCAACTGAGGGTACTGTCAATATGTATACCCAGGTCCTTGACGCTCTCACTATATTGGACAGGCGTCCCGTTGTACAGTACGGGCGGTAGTATAGTGAAGTTGATTTTGGCCATACTTTTACTACTACCAATAATAATCGCTTGACATTTGTCAGGATTGACAGCGATTCCAAACCTCTCGGACCAACTCTCAATAGCAGCCAAATCACGGTTGATTTTGGCGATGCACTGGTCCAGTTCAGCCACTACTCCGTGACAGTACACCTGTAAGTCGTCAGCATATAGATGATACGCACACTGAAGATCAGAAGTTATAAGATTGATAAAAATAGAAAACAGAAGAGGAGAAAGTATGCCGCCCTGTGGAACGCCATTGTGCAGTGTGGCCCAGCCCGATGACGTATCATCAACCTGCACCATCTGCTGACGCCCACGAAGGTATGAAGAGAACCATTCCAGTGCTCCATCAGAGACCGACAGATAGGCCAGGACAGCTAAGAGGATATTGTGACTGACCATGTTAAAGGCGTTAGAGAAATCTACCAGCACCAGAACAGTCACCCTGGCGTCCTCCATTGCTGCCCTAACATCGCCAGTCACTTTAAGGAGTGCAGTGACAGTGCTATGACCAGGCCTGAATCCAGATTGCAGTGGTGAAATAAGTGAGTTCCGATATATAAAACCGGAAAACTGTCGATGGACGCAGGCCTCGAGCACCTTGGATAGGAAAGGAAGGATAGAAATGGGACGAAAATGAGAAGGAACAGTGGGGTTGGTGACTTTAGGAAGCGGCCGAATATATGCTCTCCGCCACAAGGATGGGAAAGTACAGGAAAACAAAGAGAAATTTATTATATGGGAAATCGCCGGTAGGATGTGATCCAATATTGTGGTGATCATGAAACGAGATATATTATCACATCCCACCGCCTTCGATTTAATGGATAGTATTACCTTACCGATCTCCTCAGGTGCAACTGGAACAAATTGAAAAGAATTGCTAGTATTAGAGCCCGTCATACCAGAAATGAAGGCCAGTGTCTGTTGTTCAGTGTACTGATCTAATGTGTGAGTCGAGGAAAAGTGACGATTCAGATCATCTAATCCAACTGAAACTGAGAAGTCAGAATTGCGCGATCTGCCAATACCTAGAGTTCCAAGGAATTTCCAGATGTTGGCAGAAGACTCAGAAGTAATGTTTTCAAGAATGTGGCGGCTTTTAGCGTTGCGTATCATCTGATTGCCCCTTTTTGGCGCTACCTTATAAGCCGCCCAGTGTTCGTCAGTACGATCTCGCTTGTAATTCCGAAACATTCGATCTCTGCGTCGCATTGCCATACGGATTCCGCGTGTCATCCATGGAGCTGGTGGTCGCTTTTGGATAATTTTTCTGACAGGAGCATGACGATCATAAAGCTGAACCACAACTGAGTTAAAATAAGCCACCTTATCGTCTATGGTATTTGCTTCTGTCAGAGGCACCCAGTTGATGGCAGAGGCATCCCTTTTGAGCCCTTCACAATCCATACGACCAAAAGCTCGCCTGTACAAGACCTTAGGTTTGGGTTTGGGAGGTTTAAGGGTATAGGAAAGGAAGATCAGGTCATGGTGAGAGAACCCAGGCGCATCCTGTTGACCGTGAGAGGAAACAAGGGAAGGATTAGAGGTAAGGATCAGATCGAGCCAGGTATCATCGCCTACAGTGTTATGGTGAGTAGCCTTAAGAGGCAATAAATGGAGACAAGCTGACTCAATCACATGCAGGAGTTTGCGGGTTCGGGGAGAGGTGGGAGAAAGGAGGTTGGTGTTGAAGTCACCCATTATGATGTGATGTGAATATTCTGACCCCAAAGATTCTAAAACTGTTTCCAATTCAGTGAAGTAATCGACGGTAGGGGGACAATAGACCACGCCAAGGATGGTTTTGGTCGTGCGAACACACACTTCGAGAAAGATATATTCAGCAGCATGGTTTTGAGTGGACATGGTTAGAATTTTAAAAGGTAAGTCGCTGCGAAGATATATGGCCACTCCACCTCCCCTCCTGAAAACACGATCGTTACGTATAAGTACATAACCGGAGAGGGGATAAGTAGTGGAAAGAAGAGAAGGTTTGAGCCAAGACTCTGATATCAGAACCGCGTGGACATTAGTATTATGAAAAGCGTCATATAATTCGTGATAATGACTGGCAATACTTTGCGCATTTATATGACACACATTCAGCATTTTTGCCACAGAGTTATCGAAAGTACGATGTAAAAACTCTCCGAGGGTATCACTACACGTACTAAAGCTATCAGCTACCTTATCTGCTTACTTCTTACATACTTACATACATTTTATAGTTTCGAATATTTGAAACACTTAGGTACCTATATACCTATATCTACTTGCTTACTATGATGTGATTATGTAATTACTTACGAAGGAAGGTTGCTCCGTTGTGCCTAGGATAAATTGATAAATTACTACTATTTTTTACAATCAATAACAGTTTTAATAACCATAATATGAAATCAATATCTACCTACAGATTTAATACAAATGCCAGTTTAATAAACAATATAAAAAGTATTTAACTATGGTTAATTTGTGGAGAGCTATATATATATATAACAATATAAACGAACTGAGCTTGATTCTGCTTTAATTAACAAACACAACATTAAATTAATACGAATGAACAAACCAGTTCTAAGATACATGAATAAATATTGCAGGAACGGAGTCAGATGTGAAGCTGAAGGTTCGTGTGCCCGTCGTCAGCTTGAACCAGTGTGCCTCCGTATACCAACGTGTGAGCAGGACGATAGTACCGACGCAGATATGTGCGGGCGGCGTCCAAGGCCAGGACTCATGTCGCGGAGACTCGGGCGGCCCGCTCATGGGACAAGCCCCCTCAGCCAACAACTGGGTAGTTGTCGGCGTCGTGTCCTACGGTCCCGCTCCCTGCGGTACCCAAGGCTGGCCCGGAGTCTACACCCGAGTAGGCGCCTACATCGACTGGATCCTATCCAAACTGCGCCCATAGGTAAATCTAGATTTTGACTGAGATATTTAAAAATATAATATTATAAAAAAGATTATGCGCAAAAAGGCACTAATTAACTAAGGTGCAAGCATTAACTTCGTTTTGTATTAATGTATAAAAACTTGAGATTAACTTAATTTATAAGTGTTAATGCCTCTGATACTTTCGTCTATGAATTAAAGTCTTTATATTTTGACGTTAGTGCCGTCTTGTTTTGCATTGTAAGAGTTTAGTCACAAATATGTGCCATCCATGACAGTACATCTTGCCACTGTAATCTAAGTAGTAGGTATGTGAGAATGTGTCAACTAACAATAATGAGAAGGTGGATCTTACTACGTGGAATAAATAAAACAATGTTACAATTATAATAAAATTTGTATTAAGTAAATAATTTATTTATAATTAGATGTATAAATGACCTCCTTCTAGTCACGCCCGGCTCCCGCCAGCATCGCCCTAACAATCACACTTCAGACCATCACGAAAGAATACAACTACGGAAATATATTACTTTTGTGAACATAGGACAAATATACTCCTATATAAAGAATGAAATATATCTACTCATTACATATTGGCACGTATTATTATGTTTGTACTTTCTCCTTCACACGATCTAGGAGTGTTCCAAAGATCTTTTATATTTGGTTTTCTTTTAATATAATTTTGCTACAGTAAAACAGGGGAATAAATAAAGTAGGTAATATACATTTCGTAAAATCCTGCCATTCTCCCCTGACACGCGTGTTTATCCAAGCTAGTAATACAATGATCAACAAACTATTTAGGTACGTTTATGGCGATATACAATACAAATAGGTATGACAATATTTCAGACATTTTATGTTTTTAACATCCAACGACAGCTTACATCTAATAATATAGTTTTATAATATCGATAAATACGATAATAGGAGACTGTAATCTAATATATCTAATAGAAAAGCAGGTGAGATAATGTTGTTATGTAGAATGAGCGCAGAAAAGTTATTAAAGTAGGAGATTCTAGAGAGAAATTCTGATATACATAAGCATAAGATTTAATAAAATATATAATAATATGTATGCTCAGCATATCCGATAGAAAATAAGCGGGAAAATGGAAAAGAAAATACCTACCATCTTAACTTATAACCATAGACAATTATAGTAACCATAATTTATAGGAAGAATGTTTTTTTCTAAGTTTGATTGACTTTAAATATGAAATATCAATGCAAAAATATAGCACAAATCGTTTTTATATGGCTTTAGTTTTATGACTCATTTATTTAAAGTTAATACATACTTCTATCATGCTGATAATTTCATAGTTGTAGATTTTTTTGAGGGAGATGAGTAAACAATTTGGTATTTTTAAAATATCAATTAATGGAGAAAACAAGTGCAGTGCAGTACGAACCTAATATCATAAACAATACTTGTCATCGTACCACAGACACAGTTAAAATTAATTAATCATGTGGAATGAATTTAAATGGAATGTTTACGCCGCCATACAGCCAAAGTTATCCATAAGTTTACAACTTTAGATTCATAAAAATAATATCTTGAATATTTATATTCGAGAATTTCAGAATGTTTACATTCCAGTTTTAGCTACACTCAATACAATACAAAGGAGAATAATTTAACAAATAATTACAGTACACGTAAGTAATATAAGTTATTCACAAAACTAGTCTATTGATTTTTTTATTACATGAATTATTAATATGGTTAGGTTAGTATACTATACAGTTTCTTCTGTGTAATAGTGTGAACTTGGCAACATTTATTTTTTATTTTAATAATACTAGAGACCAAAAATTTAATTAAAAAACCTCATTCATCAATGAGGACTACCGCGAGTTTGGCGCCAAGATTTTTTGTGTAGCGAAAGGTTTCTTGCCCAATAAACTATCGGTTAATGAATAGTCATTAGCACATTAAATTTTGGACATCTTTATAGAGTGATTGAGTGATTACATTAGCGCCATCTACTGAGAAACATGGTAGTTCTCATTGTGTAAACTTGGCAACATTTTCTTTTATTCAAATGTGTGCTGGTGTACTAAAAACGAAAAAAAAAGAACCTCATTAATAAATTAAGATGCAGCTGCAATTTCTACAGGAATGTTCTCAGGAACCGCTGGCTCTGCAGCATCCTCTACCTCAGCATGTCCATTCTCCTCATTATTCCAGGTCTCACTGTCTTCAGTCTTTTTCTCTTCCTCCGGAGCTGGTGTATGATAGTCAAAGAATCCGTTCTGATCACCATTCACCTGTGGTCCGTTTAACATGACATCCTGCAATTTCTTTCCGAACTCAGGGTCAGTCTCGGAGACACTTTTAATCAGCCTGTCTTGTTCCTCCTCAGCCCAGGTTGGAAACCACTCGTTGAATAGTTTTATCTGGAAATTATAATATTTATGTTTTAAAATAATTATGTTGAATAATATTATTATATTATATAAAATAATTAATAGCTATGTAGATTTTTTCCGAACTCAACTTGTATTTTTAATTCATTGTCTAGTATTTTTAGTAACAGGAATAATATGAATATAAATAAACATGGCATAATATTGTCTGTATAAGTTATCTTACGTTATTATCGAGGTTTGTTCAAACTGGTTTTTAAATAAAATTTTACTGTTTGCAGGAAACGAAACACAATGAAATGGGATTTTATATTTTATCATTATATTTGTGTTATCTGTCAGGACTTAACAAACTAGAAAATTACAGGAAGGAGGGAAGTTGACCGCCTCATTGGTTAAAAAGTGGTCTTGGGTTTGTTTCCTATGTAGCAGAGATGAAGATTTGTCCGTATTTCAGGACTCTTTGGAGACAAGTGAAAGTTACATTGCGTGAACCTGACTTAATTTAAAAATAAAGACCAAGAAATGTAAACTAGGTGAAGATGGTTTTTCCTGGTCACCTAGTTTACATAAAACTTGGCAGTTTTGCATACTTTAGAAAAGTATGTAGGCAGATAACAATTAATTGCGCAAGATTATAAAATAATATAGCTTTAAGTGATCAAACTGTAATTGTAAACATTATTCATGTTTACACAATTGCTGACTCATCCAGTAATTGTGTTGACGATTAAGATCAACACAATACAATTATTTTTATTAGCCAACAGCCAACAGGTTTTCTGCAAAATGTGCATTCCTCTAGAGAAAATTGTTATGAAATACTAACTGCAGTATAATATAATGCATTGTTGACTTATTTTCTATAGTATGAAATGATGTAAGTATTTCATAGCTACGTCGAAACAATTAACATTAAGTGCTTATTGTATCTTCTTATAGTTATAAAGAATAGCTTACTGTCTATTATTATAAGATTCTTTTGCATATATCTCAATGTTATAGGTAAAGAAGGACTTAGCCAGTTAGTTGTCGGATGGTAACTATTTTGTCCAAACACGTCTAAGTAATTTTGGAGCCTACAAATGCAAATATACATTTAAATCTTTCCACTAAATAATATTAATGTTGATTTACATATAGAGGTATGTAGTATAGAGAAGTACATAAAATTGGTTATAAAAAATATACTGAGTGTTTTTAGGTCATTTTCAACCGGCCTATCTGGAAGTCATTGGGGAATATCAGCAGTGGATGTCTTTTAGGGTATCAACACTGTTTTCATAGTATTTTTAACTGTGTGCTCCAATCTTAAATCAACTCAAATGACATAACATATAATTTAGCCTGATGGTGTCAGACTGACAAAACTGAGAAATTATAGGTACATTTTCACTCCATATTACTATAACCTATTTTTAGTAACTATGAATACCTACTTACTCAAGTTCAAAAATAGTCTAACACCATTTTTGTTTAAGTCATTAGCAGTTCAATAAGTGAACATATTAATGGCATGAGTCACTTTGCTCTATATTTAACCGCTAAGATTAGAAGCAACAAGGTTACATCTCTGAGAATCCAGCAAGTTTAGTTCTGTTTTTCTAGTAAAACAAAAACAGTAGTCAAGTTTTGAACTTCATTTGATATACTTATTTATTTTTTAAGACTATTTAAGAACCAGTTTAGAGACTAGAAAGTGTTAATATTATTATTCAAACTCACCCGGCACTGGAAAAGGCTGACAGGCTTGTCGTCACAAGTTATAGAAGCCAATGAAGCAGCCAGCTGATCAGGTTTGTCTCCCCGGGCAGCGGCCAGTACTGGCAGGAAGTCTTCTCTTTGCAACTCACTGAATTCACTGAACCACTGCAGCATGTACCGCAGCTGGGCTTCTGAAGTTAAACCGGGAGCCGACATCCTTGGGGCTAGCGGGCGGTGCTCACTTGCTACACAATCTAAATACAAATGCCAATTTTAAACACATAAATAAATATCCTTAATCATAAAACAGACAATGTTAGCTAACAAAGTATTTTTTCCTCATTACAAACAGGTAAACAGTCAGTGAACTCAAGAAATACCTGATAACATCGAATTAAATTAAATAAGCACACGAAACGCGTCTCGAAAGTAGGTAACCCGAAGGAAATTTAGAACTTACTATCAGACACCGATAAACAAACAGTGGAGCCGAGTAACAGAGCCATTGTGACACACTTAGACAATAGTATCTATAACAATAGACTTGAAAAACACCAAGTGGAGTAATAGATTGTCGGCAGGAACGCGAACTGTTAGACACTTTCTACGAGCGCTCGCCTACTCGACTGCAACCAAACCACACGCAGCACAAGGCCACATAACAATTTCACCTTTCAACTTGTTATATCATACGTAACATTTCACTTTCTAACTTATAATTTATGAAAATGATTTACATTTTAAATTTTATATCCGAGAAGGTGTTGTTTACGTAAACGATATTTACCGGTTGTCAATGAATCCAGATGCTTCCTCGTATAAACGGATTAATGACTTATCCGTATTTGATACAAAGAAAGTTAGTATACTTTCGCGTAATATTTTTATAGAAAAACTTAAAAAGAACAGCAGAACTCGCACCAAACAGGTAGTTAACTGTCAAAATTGTTATTTCACTTGACCTTGACAAACTTGACAGCGACAGTGACAACAGAATAGCCTATTGGGTTTTAGGCACGTATGAGAGAGACGCCTTCATTTCAATAACTAGATGAAGCACTATCTACAACTTCAGCATTATCTAAATACAATATAAACCGTTTGCTCCTCGCTTCACTTCTAGTAACCACACCCACAAGACCCACGACAATTTATCAATTAAAAAATGATTGTTTATTAGACGAGAAATACGCAGTAAAATGATTTAAAGTTCACGATGTTTTTGCTGACCACATGTGCACAGTCAGACTATTAGACCTGACAGAGCATCGGTAAAAAACTCTGTTAAATAAAAATATAACACGCGTTTTCTAGGCACCATCTGTACTTAGAATATTACTTTGTAGACGGCTCTTCACTACATAATATAAAACAAAGTCGCTATCTGCCGTCTGTCTGTCCTTGTATTCTATATTCCGTGGTCTGTCCCTATGTAGGTATGCTTAGATCTTTAAAACTACGCGACGGTTTTTTTAATAGATAGAGTGATTCTTAAGGAAGGTTTATATGTATAATACATGAATATTGAACCCGTGCGAAGCCGGGGCGGGTCGCTAGTACGTAATAAACTACAATCGAATCATTCACATTCCTCTCCTTATTATATAGAAATCTATATAAATATGTCAGATATTGTTGTATACCTACTTATGAGTCTATTCATCTACTTTGTATGTATATGTCAAGGATCGTGCATTCGTGCGCAAGGGCATTACTTAGAGCAAAGTATTTTTTATCAATGGACACGGACAGAATGAATCAGCTGTAGTACCTAGGTCCTTACTTTTATCAGATACTTGAGAACTGAATAAATATGGGAGGTTTTTACTTAGATATCTAGTTATGTTAGTTAAAATTTTAATTTTGTTTGGTCATGGTGCACCGGGACTACACAAAAGAATTAAAATTGTATAATAATTAAATTAAAAATAAAATGATCTGCAAGGAAATATGATTAACAACACCACGCAAAATATGGCGCGGTGACCTTGACGTGCTTCACAAGCATCAAGCATGGAAAGGCGGATTCGAAATCTGGCATTGTCATGCTAGGTATTGTAAATTTTTTTAAGGTGGGATAATAATCGAATGACTGCTCCCGCCTGGATGAGGCGGGAGGGAGTGTCAGACCCTTACGGACTAAAAACCACCCCGTTCCTTCTCCTGCACGTCGAGCCGGAGCCCCGGTAACCCGTTAGGTTCTCCGCGACAGGTATTGTAGATATAATGTACTTTCCAAGTACAAATAGTAATCATTGTCATACGATGACGGAAAACATGATGAGATAATCTGAACTTAAAATAACGAATCGTAAGTTTGAAATCGACAATCCTTGAACTGAATAAACGTGGTCTTTATTCAGGAATGAGACAGTAAGGTGGGTACAAAGCTACAGGCTGAAAATGAAATAGTACGCTTTTTAACCGACTTCAAAAAAAGAATGAGGTTCACAGTTTGACCTGTATGTTTGAGCGATTATTTAATGATTTGCTAAACCAATTTTGTTATGGTGTTCAGAGGAAAAAATGTCGTGGTGGCCCGGAGGTTTACGACGCCCGCTTTTTAGTACATGAGAGTGCGGGTTTGAAACCTACCAACGGCAAGTACCAATATGGCTTTTTCTGAGCTGTATGTACTTTCTAAGATTATCTAGACATCACTGACAAACGATGAAGAAAAATACCGTGAGGAAACCTGGGTTTATAATTTCTAATTATAAGTTTGAAATCGCCAACCCGCATTGAGCAAGCGTGGTGATTAATGCTCAAACCTTCTCCGTGTGAGAAGAGGCTTTGCTCAGCAGGGCATTTATAGGCTGTTGAAGGATTTAGTTTTTTTTATGGTATCGGTGAACGAGCAGACAGATCACCCGATGGTATTGGAAAGCAATCGGCCGCCCATGGACACCTGGAATATCAGGGGCATTGCAAGTGCGTTTCCGGCTCTTTAGGATTAGGAATTTTAGGATTGTTGGGGATTCAGGGATTTTGGGGGTAATTGGGCCTCGGTATATTAATAATCAGTACTTATATTAATTAACCAACTTAAAAAGGGGTTGGAAACTATTTATTTAAACGTAGTGTAGATGTACCTAAGTATGAAAGAGAAAGACTTATTAACCTCTGTAAAGGTAAATTCACTACTATTCAATATACCGGACACAATTCCAGACTTCGTGCTACTACTGAGAAAAGCCAGTAATATTTTGCCCGACTCGGAATCGAACCCGAGATTCTTTGCCTAGCAGTCGCACTTGCGACCACTCAGCCAAAGAGGTAAATGGCAATAGGCTCATACCCAATTACATGAGACTCATAACATAAATCGTGAACTGTGGGTATTATTACATTATACAGTGTCATTAAGTGCTGTAATGTGCACCTCTGCATACCCCTTCGGGGATAAAAGGCGTGATGTTATGTGTAATAATCAATCGTTCCTTGGGATGAATCATGGGTTGCCAACCTTTTGGGGGTAAGGCCCAGGCATACCAAATACATAATAGGTAATTGAATGAATCATTGAAAGACGTAATTAATTATTTAATGATTTTATTATACAAACTTTTATAAAATCCGATCACATTACATTAATGTACATAACTTATTGTATGTAGTACATAGCTGGTCGGTACCAATCCTCATTAATGACACCTATGTATTTATTTAACAATAAGGTACAAAAAACAACACAGACATATTGTAGGTATATTATTTAGATAGGCACTTAGGTACAGGAATGTCGAATTAAGTAGGTACCTAAGCACTTAAATGGTAATTTCCACATACTTTGTACTTTAATTATAATAATTACCTACTTATGTATTTATTAATTAAAATCTAGGTTAGTATGTATGGCTCATCCAATTCTCTGCTTCCTGCTTCCATAATATCACAGACAGAAAGGCGTCCAAAAATAAAAGACAAGTTGTTTCAATACTTCTTGGACTTAAGTATGAAAATGTGTGCCTACCTACACGACATAAGTATTATCAGATTATGTTTAGGTACTCATAAAGTCAATTTATATGATAATGTTCCATAGACATGGAAGAATGGTCTACACGAAATAATTTATAAAGTTTAATTGGATAAGTTTGTCCCAAACGTCAAATAGTTAAGTAATATAAATTAAGTAAGCTAAAATAGCTAGGTAAATCTTTAAGACTAAGTCTAGTCAAAATACATGCAGTGCATGGTTTTTAACCGGCACGCGGCGCGGTGGCAGTTTATTTGAACATTCGTTAAAATTCCCTGCAGCCAGATAGATAATTTTTTTAAGTCTCGCAATACAATTAGGTATGCAACAAAATTAAAATTAAATGTAAGACAATAATATCATTATTATGTAGCTGATGACTAGAAAGTTCGTTTGTTTCGGAATCTCGCTAGTTGATATAAATAATAGTTTTAATATTTAATATAAGTAATAGGCATCTTCCTTGTCTTGTCATCACACATACTAAAATGAAAAAGTAGCAACTAATGGCAACACTAATTACTTATAAGGCGAGTATCCGAAAATAACGATATTTTCTCTTTTAGAGCTCCTGTAACTTCGTCAGTATTATTTTCTTACATAATAATTACATAAAAAATAAGTTTAGACTATCTTAAAACTAAAATTTACACTTGATAATTTATCACAAATAGAATTATTGTCATTTGGTCAACCCTTAGTAAGATTAAGTACTTGGTTCACATTTTAAATTGTCGTAGAAAATATTGGCATGGTCTGGGTCATTGAACTCATTGTACTTATTTCCTGTTGTGGCTGTGACCATGGTCGCCGTGGGAGTGTGAGTGTGAGTGACCAGCTGAAAATAGAAAAAGGAGAATTTATTAATAGATGGTACAGAATACAGATACCTAATAGGTACAGGGCCGGATTTAGGGGGGGGCAACCGGGGCGAAAGCCCCGGGGCCTCCACAAGCAGGGGGCCTCCACAATAGAGACTTCGGAAAAAAAAATCTTTCAAATTTCAACTAGTAAACCTAGTAAACATCTTTTCTTTGATATTTTTTTTTTCGCTTTTACCTTTACCTACAGCCTAAAGTACTTTATACATACATGATTATTTGATTATATTAATTTTAAATATTAACAGAAACAGAAATCATTGATCTATATTTGTTCACTCCAATCAGGCAATCAGTGAAATATCAAAATCTCAAATGGCTCTGATAAGCACTTTCAATTTACTATCCATCTTGAGGGAGTACCCCAATGGCTCAATGGCTCAGTGGGATGGTACTTGCCCGCAACCTCGGAGGTTGGCTATTCGATTCCGTGTCTCGACCATTAAAAAAATTAATTGCAGTATGTGAACAATTGGTATTCTTCAATTCTTAAACTCGAAATCTGTCGAGCGTCCTCGAAATTTATCGAGCATCCTCGATCGTTTTCGAGCGTCCTCGAAATCAAGCGAGCGTCCTCGATCTCAATCTGGAAAATAATTTGGGGCAAGGGGGCCTCCACTCCTTTGTTGCCCCGAGGCCTCTGGACCCCTAAATCCGGCCCTGAATAGGTACTATGTTTGAACGTATCATATCAGTAATTTTCCCTTTAATACGCATTTGTTGTGGTAAATAAAATAAATTATTCTATGGTAATTGTAGTCATATAGTTATAAGGAGGTGGTGTAAGGTATAATGTATATGGTATAAGGTATAGGTATAAGGACCAATGACTTTTACGCAGTAGGTTAAAAAAGATAATGGAATAGTAATATCTTTGCTGGCCTTTTTTTAAGGGGGGAAAATCTTCGAATGGCTTCTCCCGCCTGGGTCTGGCAGGAGGGAGTGTCAGACTATTCATAAAACCTACCCCATTCGTTCCTACTCCTGCAGTTCGAGTAATAGGTAAGGATGACAAGGATGGTGCCTACTTATTATCCTAAAAATTTCAAAGTACTTACTTAACAACTGTAGACCGAACATGATGAAGAACCCGACTATGGAAGCGATGAACTGCAAGATGCCGGATCTGTCGCCTTTCCAGATTTCAAAGAAGATAACGTAGAGCAGAGTTCCTGATGCCAGACCCTGGAGAACCACAGACGAGATACCGGCAGCAGTAGCACCTTCACCTCCCACTAACAGCAAACCAATTCCGATACCCAAGGGCGAAACAATGGCGAAAGTTGTGATGTACACTATCATCAGCACAGTCTTGGTACGTGTAGCGATCAGTTCCACACCAATGCAGAAGGCAATGACGAGCTTATGGGCTGAAACAGCTCCTAACATATACCTGAAAACATAGATAATTGATTTTATTAAGTACACGCCAAACATAATAAAATTATTTAAATTATTTCAGATACAGCGCCATCTGTGGTCGAGTAGCGTTATGAAAAAAATTGACGTTGCTTGCTGTTTCAAAATGTTATTACTATTCGATAATAGATGGCGTTGCAAATGATTATAATAAAGAAAAACACGCAATGCATACCAGACGTGAGAAGTGCTGGATTCTAGACCGACTGCCAAACCCTCGAACAGTTCGTGGATAGACAGAGCAAGCACAATGAGTAATCCTCTTAGAGCAGCAGTTACGTCATCACCCACGTTCATTGGCATATGGCTGTGGTGGTGTGAGTGTCCATGTCCATTGTGGTGGTGATGATGGCTTTCAATGTCCTGAAAATAGAAAAAAACAACATTTATGCATTTATTTATTAACACATAAAACGCTTAACGTTTTTATCATTATTAATTTGCATACAATTACAAAAACAATTTTTACATTACAAAAACACGCCAGAATAAATTATTCTAGGTAACTAAGTACTTATAATTAATCAAGTTCATTCACCTTTTTTGGCTCAACAAGGTCTGCAGTCGAATTGTTAACGCTCTTCTCTCCATTGCTGACTCCGCTGCGGCTCTGACGAACACTCAAGTTCCTGACTAGTGGCGCCACCTGGCCGTTCTTCCTCTCTCGGTAGTGAATGTACGTGTGGACCAGTTCTTCCACCAAGTACATTATGAAGAAACCGGAACATGTTAGAAGAGGTGTCAGAGAGAAGTCGAACTCATTTAGAGCCCCGATCCCTGAAAGATTTATTTATCATTATTTATTTATATTTAAACATTACGGCGCAACACCTTAAAATAGAATAAGTAGTAAGGGCTACTTCACGCCTCACCTCCAGTTTGTAATATCCTACCATAGGTACCTAGTACAAACAACGTTGGATATAGTTTTGGGTATCCAGGGTATATACCGTAAGATTTTAAATACACGAATCTGGCAAACTTATTTTGTATACGTTCTATCATAAACTTATATTTGTCCTCATGTGGTCTCCAGATACCAACGTTACACTTAAAGTTATTAAAAGTCACTTGGAACACTCCAAGTGAATTTTGCTAACTTTAACTCTACTCAGTGCCGGGTTGGCGATTATTTTATTTAAGACTTATAATTAGAAATTATAAGCCCAGATTTCCTCACGATGTTTTCCTTCACCGTTTGTCAGTGGTGTCTAGATAATCTTAGAAAGTACATATAACTCGGAAAAGTCACATTGGTACTTGCCGTTCGAGCCCGCATGAGAAGCGGAGGTTTAAGTCGCCCAAGCCTCCGCGCCACCGCGACCTAGCATAGACCTAGCAGTAGCACCTCTATATAACCTACTGTTATCAATTGGTTATCTAATTTGTTTTCCTATACTTCATTTCTATAGGAACGCGATAAAAAACTAAAGTTAAGTCTAGGACTAAAGATTACGATCACTGCCGCTTTGAGACAAGTAACTACAATCGTCATTCTTAGCTCCAAGCACAGACTCATTCATAATGCATACATAAGTATAAACGAAGCATTGTAATATAATATAATTAGAGTAATAAACACGAGATGTGCGAGTCATTAAGTCATTATAACACTATTATATTTGTAAGATTGCTATCTAATAGGTTACTCGCACCTACTATTGAGGAGTTGCACTATGTATTTAGGTAACTACCCATTTACCGGGGTGGTTTTAAGTCAGTAAGATTCTGACACTCCCTGTCGTCTCACCCAAGGCGGGAGGAGTCATTGGATGAATTCTCCTCTTAAAAAACTCATACCCAATTAACCCATACCTAATAATTATCTACCTATTTATTATTTTTATAAATTCAACTATAATTTGGTGTGTTTATTGAGTTTAAATAATTATAATTATGATAAATTCCTTGGCCTGGTTTTGTCAAACAGTTGGGTCATATCTATTATCGACGTACCTACTAACAGGAAACTGAATATATTTATGTATGTATTTATTATTATAACTTCACGCCTGTCTTACATGGATGTAAGCAGAGATTATTGCTACGTTTCTTACATACCTCTTTCGCTTCCTGACAGTCATCAGTCTTTTTAATTTCATTTCATGCATGCTCGTTGGTTAACGGTACCTACTTTTACCTCTATATTGTCTTATATGCAAATCAATAATTGCTGCAGATTCTATATCTACGAGGTATAGGAACTTATTTAACTAATTTCGTCTTGATACGAAAGAAGACGAACAAGATACCTATACATATTTAGCTAGTAAGTTAGACAACGCTACAAATTATTGGGAATTCAGTCGAACTAAAATGTATGAGGAATAAATTAAGAAGTTGCAGCATCCATACCGTGTGGATAGATGTACGGACAGACAATATGCAGTTTTGTAAGAATTGTATAACAAATATATGATCTGTGTCGGTATTACATATGTACACACTGAGCTATCTAAAACCAGTTTGTGCTGGTCTCGGATTGTATTACCTTTCCTTACATTGAACGGTCAGTTTATACTGGATACATAGCTTCATGTGTACCTGTTTACTACACTACATATTTACATAAACCCATTCAACTTTATACTACACTAGCTACGCTAAAATAAACCTTATAGCTATCATTTCTCTTCAAGCACTGGAAAATGTTGCCTGCAAAATAAGATAACGTCATTCATGACTAGTGAATGTTCCTTCGTTGCATTTTCCTAAAGGAAAATATGCTTTGTGTTTACTTTTGAGATTGGAGATAAAGAGTGCATTTTGTGTGAACGATGCCCTACTCTTCTGTGTAAGTAGGTACTTATTTAGGTAGGTAATACCTACGTATGGCATATTGCATTACCTAGTCTACGATAGTGGTGTCGTAAATATTTGAAAAGTGTTGTAATTAAAGTTAATTATGATTATAGTATAATCAGATTTTTCAAATGTTTCAAGATGTCAATAAAATTTATTGGAATATTCGAGTGTTTAATATTGTAACTAGAGTCTACATTTTTTTTTTTTATTTTTTTTTTTTTTTTTTTTTTTTTTAAGGGGGGAAAATCATCGAATGACTGCTCCCGCCTGGGTGAGGCGGAAGGGAGTGTCAGACTCTTACTGACTAAAAACCACCCCGTTCCTTCTCCTGCACGTCGAGCCGGAGCCCCGGTTACCCGTTAGGTTCTCCGCGACTCCGAATCGGCATCGGCCCTATTGGGCCCCATCTGTGGTGGTCTGATGGCTCTTTGAGGCGCGCGCGGAACGCGACGCGCCGTACGCTCGGGTCTGTTTCTGGTCGGACGGGGAGCCACCCATGCTCGCCGTCCGCAGGCCCGCGCTTACGGTGGCCGGAGATCGTCCCGCGATCCCCGACGCCCGGTGTGTCCTTCGCGATGGCTGGGTCGCGAGGAGGCAGCGCTTCGCTGCCTCACGCGTCCCGCCTCCTCCTTAGCTAGCATGACTGCTTCGCAAAAGGAGGAGACGGCATCCCAGTCCCCCTCGCTCCGCATCATGGCCTGCACTAGGCCCGGACGCGAGAGGTCGCCATCGCCGATCACTTCCCTGAGGGCACGGCGGTGCTCAGCCCACGCAGGGCATTCCGCTACGGTGTGTTCCACCGTGTCCTCAGGGCGGTCCTCGCAGTGATGACACCCGGGCGTTTCCTCCCGCCCCATCAGACACAGGTACCTCCCGAAACTTCCATGTCCGGTGAGGACCTGCGTCAGGCGGTAGGTGAGGACGCCGTAGCGTCTCTCAAGCCACTCCTCAAAGAGGGGACTTACCGCTGCAATGGCAGCGAGCCCAGCCCTCGGTTGCGACAGTCGTTGCTGCCATTCCGCCATGAGATCGCGCCGGAGCTCATCCCGCCACGCACTTATCTGGCGCGGCAGCGGAGTTTCGCCCCGGCGACGTGCCTCCGCGCGCATGTTATACACGCGCGCGAGCACCTTCGCCTCCAGATCCCAGGCGGTAATCCGGCAAGGAGGTTCGCCGACTCCCCAGCGATCGTGCGGTATCCGCGGATCATTCGGATCGCCATGACCCTCTGTGACTTGAGCAGCGTCCGAGCAGGACGCCGCAACAAGTTCGGCGCCCAAACAGGGGCGCCGTAGAGGGCCATGGACCGCACGACCCCGGCGTATAACCTCCGGCAGGAGGCGTTTGGCCCCCCGAGGTTGGGGAGGATGCGTTTGAACGCAGCCCCCGTCCTCTCCAACTTTGGAGCCAAACGTCGGAAATGCTCTATGAAGTTCCACCGACTGTCGAGGACGAGTCCTAGGTACTTCATCGCCGTCTCGACGCCGATGGTAACCCCTCCCGCCGTTATTTGGGACCCACCCGGAGGTGGCGCGTTCCCGCGGCCATGAAAACACATGGCCTCGGACTTGTGGAGCGCCACCTCGAGTCCCAACTGCCGGATTCTTTCAACGACTGTCGCAACCGCTGTCGCCATTAAGTCGGCCGCCGCCTGGTGCGACCTCCCGTGCGCTAGCACCAGCGTGTCGTCGGCGTAGCATATTGTGCTAACGCCGTTCGGGAGGTCGGTGCGCAGCACCCAGTCATAGCCGATGTTCCACAGGAGCGGCCCCAGAACCGAACCCTGTGGAACACCGCGTGACATCTCTCGCCGGTTCCACTCGCCCCGGTGACCGGGGTAGCTGACGGACCTGTCCGTCAGGTAAGCCTCGATTACACGACGGAGGTAGGTAGGCACCCGATGATATCGGAGTGCCTCCAAGATGCAGCTCCAGGGCAGGGAGTTGAAGGCGTTGGCGATGTCCAGAGACACCGCCACTACGACCTTACCCCTGGACACTGCAGTCCCCGTCGTGAGGTCTCTAACGCGCATGATGGCGTCCACCGTGGAGCGCCCTCTGCGGAAGCCGAACTGGCCGTCCGACAAGTCCGGCCCAATGTCCGTCAGGTGCGCGACGAGGCGGTTCGAAATGATTCTTTCGAAGACTTTCCCCACCTCGTCGAGCAGCACTATGGGCCGGTACGCGGACGGAGAGTCCGCAGGGCGCCCCGTCTTCCGCACGAGGACCAGTTTGCCCGCTTTCCAGAGAAGCGGGAACTGGCCTCTCTCCAGACATGCGCTGTAGAGACCAATCAATCGAGGCCCGAGAGCCTCTGAGGCCAGGACCCATGCCTTGCCATGCAGGCCGTCGGGTCCTGGGGCGGTGTTCTTGGCGCCCATCCGGCGCACCGCCGCTCTCAATTCTGCCTCGGTCACCTCTGGGACGATGTCATCGTCGTCGTCGCTGTAGCCCGCGTCGGGCACCGCAGGGGGCGGAGTCATATACGGAGGGGTGAAGCCCCTCCACAGTCGGGGAACAGGGCGCCAATCACCTCCTCCAAGACTTCTGGCCGGAGACTCTGAGTGAGCGGGGGAGCCCAAGCACGGAGCTTGTCGCGTACCATCAGGTACGGGCGTCCCCACGGGTCTCTATTCAGAGTCCCCAGCATCTCTCGGCGGGCCTCCTCCTTGGCCCGCAATATCTCCGCCTTGAGGAGGGCCTTCGCCGCCCTGTATCCCTCGTATAACTCCGCCTCTCTCGCCGCATTAGGAGGACGGATACGGCGCCTGCGGTGCCTAGTGTACTGGCGTCGCGCAGTAGTGCACGCCTTGCGCAGAGCCGCCAGCTCTTGCGACCACCAGTACACCTGGCGCTTCTGTTGCCTCGACCGGATCCGGGGCATCGCCACGTCACAGATCCTGGACATGGCGTCCTGGAGCCACTTGGCCTCATCGTCAACGTCGGCAGGCCTGACCGGTGGTATCACCCAGGCCTGCACGATGGCGGCTTCCAGGAG